GATTATGTACCTTTTTACGTTAGACAGCTAAGTCTTAGGCAAGTTCCTAAACCATGGAAACCTAGGTTTTCATGAGAACTCCAAAATCTGAGTTCTTTATGTACATTAGGCTGCCTCCCTGCTAATATTCAGAATACTCTTCAAGCTTTAATAACTCATGAATCTGTTCTATTCTACACTGGCCACAAATATATTTGGTGGTCCAATCAGTATTTTTAACTTCTAGAACAATGGTAGGAAAAAATAGGTCTAACTATTTTATAGAGATGTATTATTTTCTTATATATTACCTTGGAACTTATTATCACTTGGAACCACCCTGCCCCTGGAATAATAAATTCAGTCTTCACAGTCTCTGTCCCTGGCCACCTCTCCTTATATCTCTCCCATTCATTGATTCCCAAGATATTGGATTTTCTTTCTCATTTGAACCCCAAGTTCACATACCTATGTCTCTTAGTCCCTGCTTGTACTCACTAGTTTTCCTCTCCTCCTCAGATTCTGCAACAGTTAATTTTATGTGCCAACTTGACAGAGCTATGGTGGCCAGATACGTGGTCAAACATTATTCTGGATGCTTTCATGAGGGTGTTTTTGGACGAGATTTTCATATAAACTGGCGATCTTTGAGTAAAGCAGATTATCCTCCTTAATGTGGTTGGGCCTCACTCATGCAGTCAGTTGAAAAAGTTCTTAATAGAACAAAGAATGACCTTCCCTGAACAAGAGGAAATTTGCCAGCAGATTTTCAAGACCTTCAGACTTGAATTGCAACATTGGCTCTTCCTTGAGCCTCTAGATTGCTGGCCCACCCTGCAGATTTTGGACTTGCCAGCCTCCATTATCATGTGAGCTGATTCCTTAAAATCTCTCTTTCTCTGTCTCTCCCATTTTATCAAATCCTCTTCTCCTCAACTTCATAGTTAGTATTCTTTTTTTTTTTTTTTTCTTTTTTTTAAAGCCTACAGCACCCGGTATTCCCAGGCGGTCTCCCATCCAAGTACTAACCAGGCCCGACCCTGCTTAGCTTCCGAGATCAGACGAGATCAGGCGCGTTCAGGATGGTATGGCCGTAGACCATAGTTAGTATTCTTGAAAGCCTTATCTTATATTTCTGCTTTCCTTGAATTCTTAAGTCAAATCCATTGAGACATATGAGATCATTACTGACCACCATATCACCAAATCACCAGGCATTTTTGGTAATTAATTTGCTTGGCTTTTCTGAAATATTTGATAACTGCTTCCTTTTTCTTGCAGCATGTTCTTGCCTACTTTTTGTGATACCACATATTCCTGGTTTTCTTCCTATCACTCTGACTGCTTTTTAAAATTCTCCTTTTTAGTATTTTTCTTTTGCATTTCCTTTAAATGTTGCTGTTTCTCAGTGTTCTGTCTTAGCCCAGTTTTTCTTCTTCCTCTCTCGATGTCCTGAATAATCTTATCTACTCTTATTGCTTCTATTATTACTGATAGACTGATACTCCCCTTTGTATATCAAATCCAAACTTCTCACCTGAGCTCTAGACTCACATGACCAGCTGCCAACTAGGTAATGTTTTCTGGAAACCTCAAATACATCTCCAATTCAATGTAAGTAGACTGAACTTGTCATTTCCCCCTCACTACAAACCTGAGGTTCCCTTATGCTTCTGTCTCAATAATGATACCACTATACACCCAGTTTCTCCAGCTAGAAATCTAATATTATCTTTATTTCCTTCTCTTCATCATCTTTTCAATATAGCACCAGATCCTACCAATTCTAATTCTCAAGATATTTTGTATGTGTCCATTTTCTTTATCCCTGCCCATTATCTTAGTTCAGGCTATCATTTTCTTTCCCGGGGATCATTGTAATATCTTCCTAATGTTCTCTCTGCTTCCATGTTGACCGTCTCCAACCCATCCTTCCCATTACAGCCAGAGTGATCCCTGTGAACTATCAATCTAGTTAATTACCCCCCTCTTTAAAATAACAATAACTCCTTGTCGTGTTGACTGGAGTTTACAAGAGGAATTGCCTTCAGAATGTGGAGAGCCTTAAATTCCAAACTGAAGACCTTGGACTTTTTCTTGCAGAAAATACAACACAATTTTCTTTTTACAAAGGCAGAATAATAACAAAAAGAAATCAGATTTTAAAATGTTTTTTAATTTGAATGCCTGTCATGGATGTCCTGAGGGTTCAGAAAATAATCACCTATTCAGAAATCTATTTTTGGTATATTTCAGATTATTGCATGTGACTGTCAGCTCTTTACTAACAAGAGAAACATGTGTTTATTACATATTATATAAATTATAATCATCAGAAGATTACAGTTCCAGTATACTTGCTAAACAAATGTAATTACTATAACTGAATGAAAATATTAACAATGTGTAATTAGTGCAGAAGATGGATTCATGCTTAACAAGTGGCCATGGACTTTCAGTTTGAGTGGAACCAACTCCAGGAATTTGTTTTCTTCTCAGAAAAGAATGGGAGTAATTAAATGCATATGTGAAGTTTATACATTGGGTCAATGATCTTCTATAGTATTAGGGTCACAGAAAATGAGGTTGGTAGGGGTCTTTTCCTCCAGTGAATACATCTGGGATGATAGAAAGACACTCTGGAGAGGCATTTGGGAGACAGATGGAGGGAAAGTCAGGTATGATTGGATAGAAAAGGAAGATCTTTGAAGCTGGAACAAGGCTCTGATGACTACCTTCATCGGTTAATTTTCTCCCCTATTTTCTGTTAGCTAAAGGTAGAATTGGGATGAGGGATTATTTGAGCTGCTTTGAGAACTTTATTTGAACAAACTGAATGTTAGAATTAAAGTAATTATTTTTCAGTCCTGTGAATAATCTTGGGTGATAGCTATTCTAGTCTCATAGTTTGAAATACAAAACAATGGAAGCCCAGAAAGCGTAAGTGGCTTGCACAAGGACACAGATAGTAAAGTGAAAGAACAGGCTAGAATGACTACTTCACCAGTGTATGCATATTGCCCCAAGCTTCTTATTCATTGTAGCATTCTTTCCACTGCACCATAGAAACTATGACAGATTTAATTTAAAAAGAGGGTCTTTGAGCAACCAGGACAGGCTTATATAATGTCAAAGGATAAAGATCATTACAATACAGATAGATTTCCCTAGCAACATAACCACACCTTACATGGTATATTAGTTTGCTAGTGCTATCATAATAGCCCCAGACTGAGTAGCTTAACCAATAGAAATTTATTTTCTCAGAATTCTGGAGGCCAGAAGTCTAAGATCAAGGTGTTGGTAGGGTTGTTTTTTTTTCTGAAGGTTATGAGGGCAGGATCTGTTCCAGGCCTCTGTCCTTGCTTATAGATGGCCATCTTCTTCCTGTGTCTTTACATCATCTTTCCTTCATCATGTGAGCCCAAACTTTCTCTACTTATAAGGACACTATTCATTTTGAATTAGTCCCCATCTAATGATCTCACTTAAGTACAATTACTTATTTAAATACAATATCTTCTATATTCTACTATATTCTAAGGTGCTGGGAGTTAAAACTTCCACATATGAACTTTTAGGGAGGACATAATCCAGCCCATAATACATAGATACCAGCTTTACCATCACAGAGCATTTTAAATCTTCAACCTCATTCTTTAGCGGCAACTAAGGTAATGTTAATAGAGCTCCCTCCCAGTTTATACTTAGGCAGTCAATTGCCTAACAGCCTCAAGCTTCTGCCCATGAATGTACACTGTCTAGGTGGAGCACAACTGTTAGCCTGCCAGCATATTCTCCTGTCAGCATGCTAAAAGAGGACCCATAGGGCATGGACTGGCTGACACACTTTTATTTAACAACATATTATAACTGTCATGAAACAATACTTTCTTCTTTGGAAATGGCTCTTTATTTTGTAAAGTGCTATAAGTCTGAGGGCTTTGATTGTTTTTGCAGTATTTTTTATTGTTGAACTGTAACTTAGATGATGAATATATATTTCAGGAGCATCCTGGGGCTGACATTTTTAAAGAGGTTCTGAAATGAGTTCCTATTGAAATGATCCTGGAGAAAGTCAGTGGGGCTCTTCCATGGTTTCTGTAAAAATCCTTAAGTAAGGAAAAGCATAACTTATCTTAAGAGAAAAATAGTTTTGTAGCTAGAAATTATTTGAAAGAGGTGATGTCCACGGTAGTGTGTCAGGGGATTCCCAGGTTTTGTCTTTTGTGGGTGTCTGCTATTTATGTTAAAGCAAGGGAGAGGCTGGTGATTCTTGCAGAAAAATGCTGTATTGCTCTATCAGAATGATACTCAGGAGTTTAGTTTTCCTGCCTCCACAACTCACCAAAATGTTAGTGTCTATAACTTAGGATGTCTTCTCATCCATGATGCTCACAATTTAGAAATGATACTATTCTGCATCAGGGCCTTCTTGGACTTATTCCTAGTACCAAGGTGTGAATACCAAATATAGACTCCAGCAGGTGGCATGGGGTGTTTGGATCATTAGATAATACATGTTATTTTTGGCATTACTATTAAACTCCTTCTGACTGGGTCACCTGATGGACTGTGTTGCTTAAACCAACAGTTCATCTATAATTCTTATAATGCTGAGCTGAACTTTCAGACTATTTTCTACTCTTGGTTCACTAGACATTAGAAACAAAGAAGCTGCTATATATTCTTGGAAGGAAATATTAGCAGACACTGGGAACATCATTATTTGTCATGACCTGTGAGTCATAGCAAAAAAGGACACAGAAAGCTGTGAAGTCAAGAATATAAACACAGATAAAGAATTCTAGCTTGGGGATGGATATACAAATAATATAGGGTTCACCCTAACAGGGAAAAATGGTTGAGGAAAAACAGAGGTGTTTGGTTTCTTTCCTTTTTCATAGTTAGAACATGGATAATTGTAACCAAATACCCTTAAGCAATGAGAACTTTTTTTCCAGTTCCTAGACCAGTAGATACTGAGTTATGATTTGATGCATAATTAAAACAGACAAAAATAATTATTTGCCAAAAATTTATTATTAATTTTTTATACAGTGCAATTATTTCAACAAGAATGCCTTCAACATAGTATCAATAGGCCTCAAAGGATTATAGGCTGATGGGTCTTCTGTTTATAAATTTTTCCCTTTCCCTCCCGCAAATGCTCTCTGTGATCTCTTATTGGTCCTAGAGCAAGACAGACGTTTACAGAATCCTGAACAGGTTCCCTCTCAGCTAAAATTAACTAAGGCAGCAATATTCTGAAATTCACCAAAGACTGGAGGAAGAGAACTGAGCACTATAGACTATGGCAGACAGTTTTAAAATTTGAGCTCTGGAGTTGTTTGAGAAACACCTTACTTTTGCTCTATGAGATTTTAAATGTTTATGAAGTTGAGTGTAAAAAATTCCAATTCAAATTCTAAATCTTAAAGCTAAACCTTATTCTTAACAGATATTCCTTCCAGTTATGGGCTGATTTCACAGGGAGTTTTTCTGTAGAAGTCAGTTTCCTTACACTATTCAAAAGTTGTAAATATTCAGTCCCCTTGCAGAATCTGTGCTAATTATGCCACAAAAGATGAGAAACTATTTGGAGATAAATATTAACGTAATCTAGGCCCAAGAAGATATGTCAACTTTAACACTAAAATTAACTAAATTCTCTACAAGATATATCAACCACTAAAAAAAAACCAAAAAAAACAACGGACCCAAGTCTTTTGAATGTCACATTATTATATTATTCTTTTTACTTTTGAAAGCAATAAATTAACATGTCCCCAAACAAAACTCCTTAAACAAATTAAATGATTTGTTTTTTAAAATGGTCACCACATCTGCACCAAAGATATCCTGCAGTAAAGAACTACTTGAGGGAGAATAAAAGGTAGAAGTACAAAGTACATGGAATGAGTATAGTTTAAGATTTTGGATTAAAGACATATTCTAACATCTGAGTTTTCCCACAACCAAAATCATTTCAGTCATTTGGTACCCAGTGCTTCCCATTTCCCTTTGCTGAAGCTTTGGCCAAGTGTTGGAATAGGGCATTTCTTAAGGGCGGTGTTGGGATCTCTGCTCTTGGATGTACTCATAGAGAGGGCTGGAGCGCACAGGGGCACTGGCAAACTGACCCTTGCCAGATTCCAGAATCTGCTGACGGCCCTTTTCTTTTTCCTCCCGGACTTGGCCACGCCTCTGCACCTCCTCAAGCTGGCGGCGGAGCTTCTCTTCCCGGAGTTTCCTTTCCGGCTCTTGGCGGCGTCTCTGCTCTTCTTGCCGCAGTTTCTGTTCCTGAAGACGTCTCTTCTCCCGAGCAAATGGCTCCTCTTCTCGGTACTGCTGTTTTAGCACCTGCCGGCGCCCCAGTTCTCGTTCCTCCCGCTGCTGCTGCTGCTCTTCTCGGCGACGCAGCTGCTGTTCTTCTCGTTCCTGGACCAGCTGTTGCTCGCGTTCCTGGCGGCGCAGCTGTTGTTCCTCCTCAGGTAGATACCTGTCGCGCTCTTGGCGACGCCGCTGCTGTTCTTCCCTTTCCTGGAGGAACTGTTCACCCTCACGAAATTTCCTGTCGCGTTCCTGGCGGCGCAACTGTTCTCTTTCTTGGAGAAACTGTTCCTCCTTCTGAAATTCTCTTTCTTGCTGTTGCTCCCGTTCCTGGCGGCGCAGTTGCTGTACCTCCTCTCGGAGCTTTCTGTCGCTCTCTTGGCGACGCAGCTGCTGGTCTTCTCGTTCCCGGAGAAGCTGTTCCCCCTCACGGAATTTTCTTTCACGTTCCTGGCGGCGCAGTTGTTCTTCCCTTTTTTGGAGAAGCTGTTCCTCCTCACCGGATTCTCTGTCCTGCTCCTGGCGAAGCTGTTGCTCTCGTTCCTGGCGGCGCAGTTGCTGTCCCTTCTCGCGTAGATATCTGTCGCGCTCTTGGCTACGCAGCTGCTGTTCTCCCCTTTCCTGAAGGAGCTGTTCCTCCTCCCGTAGATACCTGTCACGCTCTTGGCGATGCAGCTGTTCTCCCCTTTCCTGAAGGAGCTGTTCCTCCTCACGGAATTTTCTGTCGCGTTCCTGGCGTCGCAGCTGTTGTTCTCCCCTTTCCTGAAGGAGCTGTTCCTCCTCACGGAATTTTCTGTCGCTCTCTTGGCGACGCAGTTGCTGTTCTCCCCTTTCCTGAAGGAGCTGTTCCTCCTCCCGTAGATACCTGTCACGCTCTTGGCGACGCAGCTGTTCTCCCCTTTCCTGAAGGAGCTGTTCCTCCTCACGGATTTTTCTGTCGCGTTCCTGGCGACGCAGCTGCTGTTCTCCCCTTTCCTGAAGGAGCTGTTCCTCCTCACGGACTTTTCTGTCGCGTTCCTGGCGTCGCAGCTGTTCTCCCCTTTCCTGAAGGAGCTGTTCCTCCTCACGGAATTTTCTGTCGCGTTCCTGGCGACGCAGCTGCTGTTCTCCCCTTTCCTGAAGGAGCTGTTCCTCCTCACGGAATTTTCTGTCGCGTTCCTGGCGACGCAGTTGTTCTCCCCTTTCCTCTAGAAGCTGTTCTTCCTCACGGAATTTTCTGTCACGTTCCTGGCGACGCAGCTGTTCTTCCCTTTCCTGAAGGAGCTGTTGCTCCTCGCGTAGATTTCTGTCGCGCTCTTGACGACGCAGTTGTCCTCCCCTTTCCTGAAGGAGCTGTTCCTCCTCACGGACTTTTCTGTCGCGTTCCCGGCGACTCAGCTGTTCTCCACTTTCCTGAAGGAGCTGTTCCTCCTCACGGAATTTTCTGTCGTGCTCTTGGCGACGCAGCTGCTGTTCTCCTCTTTCCTGAAGGAGCTGTTCCTCCTCCCGTAGATATCTGTCGCGTTCCTGGCGACGCAGCTGTTCTCCCCTTTCCTGAAGGAGCTGTTCCTCCTCACGGAATTTTCTGTCGCGTTCCTGGCGACGCAGCTGTTCTCCCCTTTCCTGAAGGAGCTGTTCCTCCTCACGGAATTTTCTGTCGCGTTCCTGGCGACGCAGCTCTTCTCCCCTTTCCTGAAGGAGCTGTTCCTCCTCACGGAATTTTCTGTCGCGCTCTTGGCGAAGCAGCTGTTCTTCCCTCTCCCGGAGAAACTGTTTCTCCTCACGATATTTTCTGTCGCGCTGCTGACGAAGCTGTTGCTCGCGTTCCTGGCGGCGGAGTTGCTGCACCTCCTGGTGGAGCTTTCTGTCGCTCTCTTGGAGAAGCAGCTGCCTTTCTTCCCGTTCCTGCAGGAGCTGTTCCTCCTCACGGAATTTTCCGTCGCGTTCCTGGTGGCGCAGCTGTTCTTCCCTTTCTCGGAGAAGCTGTTCCTCCTCACGGAACTTTCTGTCTTCTTCCTGAAGGCGTTGCTCCTCTCTTTCCTCCTTTAGCAGCTGCTCTTCCTCCCGATACTGTCTCTCCCGTTCCTGAAACCTCTTCTCCCGTTGCTGCCGCTCTTCCTCCCCCTGCAGCTGTTCGCGTTCAGCTGGCTTGGTGTATTGAGTGAGGCGGCGTCTCTGGCTGTCCTCTTCTAGTGGCCACCTCGATTTTTGGTCGCGGCGTAGCTGCTGGCCCCGCTCCCTCTCCTGATCCTCTTGGAGGTACTCCTCCTGGAGCTGCTCCTCCTCGCGGAACTGCAGCTCCTGCTCCCTCTTGAGTCGTTGTCTGCGCAGCTCCTCCTCTTGGAGCAGTTGTCCAGGCTCCTGGCGTTGCTCCGCCTTCAGCTGCCGGTCCCGCTGCTCCCGCTCTTGCAATGGGGGCCTGGCCGACAGCCTCTGGCTGCGCCTCTCACTTTCTTGCTCAGCCTGCCACTGCCACTTGAGGTTCCGGAGCTGCTCTTCTTCCTCCTGGCGCAGCTGCCTCTCGCGCTCCTCTCGGGGGGTACGCCTTGGCCACTGGGCATCCTCTTCCCGCTCTTGCAGTCCCAGCTCGCGCTCCTGGAGCCGCCTCTCCTCTTCCTCTTGCTCCTGGTGGCGCCTCTGCGGCTCCTGCCTGCGGGGCCTCGAGTAGACTTTGCTCTGTCGGGCGTCGGCCTCACTTTCCAGCTGCCGCTGCCACCTCAAAGTGTGGCTCTCGTCCTGCTCACTGGCCTCTTCCTGTTGTACCTCTTCCTCAGCCAGCTGCTGCTCACGCCTCATTTGCTCCAAGAGCGGCTCCTGCTCGCGCCTCAGCTCTTGCTTGCGCCTCAGCTCCTGCTGATGCCTCTCCTCCTGCTCGCGCTTCAGCTGCTCCAAGACCGGCTCCTGTTCACGCCTTTCTTCCTGTTCCCGCCTCAGCTCCTGCTGGCGCCTCAGCTTCTGTTCCAAGCGTGGTTCCTGCTCACGCCTGAGCTCTTGCTCTCGCCTGAGCTGCTGCTGGCGCCTCTCCTGCTCCAAACGCTCCCGGCGCTCACGCCTCTGCCTTTGAAGCTGCTCTTCTTTCTCCAGGTGCTCCCTCCTCAGCTCCTGCCCTTCCCGCCGGGGTAGTTGCTCCTCTTCCTGGCGCTCTCGCTGCTCCTGCCTTTCTCGCCTCCTCTCTTGGACAGGAAACTCCTCAGGCACCAGTCTCTTGCACCTGTGCAGCGGCTCTTCCTCCTCAAGGCGCGCTTCCCATTCTTGCCTTTGCAGCCCTTGCTCATGTCTCTCTTCCTTCTCCCTCTGCTCCGCTTCTTCGGTGAACTCCCTCTCTTGTTGTTGCCTCTTCTGCCTGCGTTCTTCTTCCAACTGTCTCTCCCGGGGCTCAAACCTCCTTTGGCCTTCTTGCCTGCGATCTTGTAATGGGTTCCCCTTTCCCTCACACTTGTCTCCCTTCTCCACTAGCCCTGAGGCCTCCGCGAGGGCATAATAACAAGCTTGAGCCACCTTGAAAATGAACAGGAGGAACTCATTGAAATCTATAAGCCCGTTACAGTCGCGATCCAGAAGTTCTAGGACCAGATCTACCGTTTCAGGATCATGTGGTCTCTGAAAAAAGATGAAAACAAAATTTTTTATAATAGACCATTTACTAGTAGTAAACTTTCACACACAATGTATATTTTATGATATGCTGACACTTCAAAAGACATTAAGAGCAATTAGAAAAGTTGCAGTGTGTGTGGTAGAGTTTTATTGTCCCTATGTAAAATGTAAATACCTCATTTTATAACATATTTGTTGAAAATTTTTGCATCTTGTAATTTAATGCTGACTAGAAGATCACAAGTTCTCTTTAGCTGGGTGAATAATGAACTCATCCTCAAGAGAAAACTACAATAGAAATTTATGAAGATTTGCAGCAGCCATTTCTGTGTGAAATAGCTAGTTCTTCTGATTTGATTTTTATTCCACGTTTGAAACAGAACAAAACATTTATGGTAACACAATTTTACTAGTGAACAGTATGAGTTTGATTATTGAAATTTGGAAATAATTTTAAGTTCCTTCCAAGTGTAGTTTGATCTGACATCTTTGCTAATAACTTCCCATGACAACCAGTTAATTCACATCGACATTGCCATCAAGTACAGAAATAATTGTTTGTAACTTCTTTAGTATCCAGACTGCAATGACAGTTAAGTACCTTCTGGCTCAGAAATGAATGAGGGATGTAGTATAGAGCTGACATGGGGTAAATGAATATAAAGTCACCATTCTTTGCTTTGGTCACTCCTGAGAAAAAATTTCATAGCCTCAAATCAATAGAGAAATTTCCTTTTCTTCTTATTTCTTACCTGAAGGACAGCTCCAAATTCTCTTTCAAGGAGATTCTTCAGGTCTTTCTTGCATAGTGCTGCTCCATCACAATTATGTGAGGCATATTGATTGAAAACTTCAGTGATATCAAAGATGCTTCTCAGAAGTGGAGACATTTTTCCCCCTAAATTCAAGTAAACCTAAAACAATAAAATAGGATTAAGAATCAAAACTGTGTTTCTGATCTTGGGGAGGTTTTAGCCATACTGTTTTGGACAGATGCCTAAATAATTTGACTTAACAGCAGTAGTTATTTTTAACCCAGGCTTTCAAAGCATTTTATCTTTGAATATTGTACTTAGAAAATGGAAGAGAGATCTTTAGAAACTTAGAGCCAGGGAGTTATCTTTAGGCTGTCCTGCCAGCAGCTTTTAGATTGTTTACCCAATCTGGATTATCCATCTCATTCTCTTCTCTCTCTTTCTGCTCCCTAACATATTTCAGATCAGATAATGTAGAGAATAATATAGGAATTTAAATTTGATATGTTGCTTCTCATTGCATCTTCCTCTACAATTGAACAGAGAATAGGTGAAAGCCAAAAAGGTGAAGGAAGATCTGAAAGTATCTTAAAGTGGATAGAAACCACATACACATAATTGTGGCAGCAAAACATTTGATGGTAACTAGTACATTAAAAGGGGAATGTGGATTATTTCCCAACATTATAACCCATAAGAGATCTAAGGACCTAATTCATAGTTTACCTGTTCTCAGATTAAGCATTACTTCTTCCTAGTCAAAGGTGGCATTGTACAATAATGTTCAGATATACCACTGAGGAAAACGGAGAGTGCATGTTATCTGCCTTAACTAAGATATGTTACAGATATTCAGTTATTGAAAGCTTCTAAGAGGTACTTCCAGAGTTAATGGGTCAAACTGAACCTGGACGACACTGAGTAATATTGGTCTTATGGTTCACTTTCGTTAAACTCAAACCATTTGAATCTTGGCATTATTTAAAAAAAGGGGAGGGACTTAGCCAAAAGGAAATCAATATTAAAATAATACATGGAAAGTTTCACTGGCTGGGCTTCATTAATTACTTCTCAACTCCAACACCACAGATGCCATAACTACATGAAGATGGCCCATATTGGGTAAAACCAATATAAAAAGAGAACTGAGGGGCCCTGGTCGGGTTGCTCAGTTGGTTGGGGCATCATTCTGTACACTAAAAGGTTTCCAGTTCAATCCCTGGTTGGGGCATGTACTGCAGGCAACCATCAATGTTTTTCTCTCTCTCTCTCTTACCCTTTCTTTCTCTCTCAAATCAATAAACATATCCTCAGGTGAGGATTTAAAAAAAAGAGAGAACCAAGTGTTGGAAAACCTTTGAGATGGCAGTTTTTAGAATGATGAACCCCATCAGAGTCACACATAACCAACTTCCAACCCCTGACAGGTAAACACACTTATAGAGTTCAGAGGCTTGGGAGAAGGGCCATGTCTCTATTTGGGCAATAGCTCCAATAATAAGAAAATGGCATGGAGTTAGACATCCCTGTAAGATACTGATATCTTCTGGCACAGTAGGTCCCTGGTGCCCCCTCTCACCAACATCTACAACAACTAGAAAATGGATACTCATACAGAATAACATGATCCCACTGAATAGAACTTACCCACTTCACCAGAGGGAGAAGTCAAGTGCTCGCTGACACCACTGGCAACTGTACTGGGAAGTTAGTAGCTGGGCCTTTTATAGTGGTTTTAATTGTGCCCTGAAGACCTACTTGGGAAGGAGACACCCACTCTGTGAGATGGTCTGATTCATCCCTAACCAAGCCCAGCTCCACCTCTGTCTCCACAAATGGTTATCTCTCTGTTTGCGCACATACCATTTGGCATGAGGTTTACAGACCTTGCCTACTGACAGGGTACTGGCCCCACCTAACATGAAAGGATAGAATATTTGGCAGAATCTCTAATTTTTAATTGTTAAAATTAAATAAAACAACAAAACAAAGAATTTAATGTTCAGAATCTTAATTAATTATGGGTTTATTATGAACTTAATTATGGTTTTATTACTCTGAGCCACTTACTTTATAAAATATGTAATTTCTAGGTTGGGGTCAAACAGAAACTTTGACATAAACTAATGAGAACTAATTCTTTTTTTTCCCTGGAATGTGACAATCCATGGGGAGTTGCTTAATAGCCCTGCTTGAAGCAGTTCTAGGACAATGAGAGGGGTATAAAGAATTGCTTTTAGTTTCTTCTCTAAAAATGCTGGTGGGGAAAATAATTGCATTTGTATTCTTGGGTCTTAAGATGATTTTCCTATAGATAAGGGATTGCCTCCTTAGTAAACAATTTTGGGTGGTACTTTAAAAATATGTTTCATTAAATTGTTTATAAGAGAACTTGAAATCTTTCAAATATTATTTTTAGGGGTGTTACATCTAAATGAAGTTTACTCTTTCTTTTCTCATTAACATATTGATGCCCCTAGAGAAAAAGAGCTGGTGTAATCTGTTTTTGTAGATATAATCATCCTGCTCAGCCCAAGTCACTAATGATTATGACACTGAAACACTTGACTCTGCTTCTCCTGGAAGTGCATTTAGGTAATTGGTCATTCTAGCCCATTATGTCTGTCAGGGTTTTCTCAACCCTGGTGATCACTTGCAAATCTCTGTGCTGTTATATTGTAAAAAACTGAATTTTATACCTGATTGTCAGTGACTCTCAACCCTGGCAATAGTTTGCAAATCTCTGTGCTGTTTTATTATAAGGAACTGGATTTTATCCTTGCTTGACAGCGATTTCCATCCTTACATTTCAGACTAGATGAAACTTTGGCTCACAGTAGGTTTCTGGAGACTATTAAATGATTCAGTGGCTTTTGGCATTTTGGTCTCCTCCTTTGTCCAATAGAAGCAAGTATTGGTTTTCTGAATTTTGAGGAGATTCTGTAGGATCCTTCAGTGAAATATAATTTGGAACCTAAATCTTGATGGCTATTCATTCCTTTATGTGCAGGTCTAAATAATGGTGGAGTAGAATTCTATTTGACTCCTCATTTGCTGCCATCTTAGAGGTGGGGTGAGAGGAAAGGAGAAATGATAGGTAATGGGAAAGCAACTGTAAGCCTGGTTCACTTCTGTGATCTGGGATTTCTCCTAAAACTCACTCTTTCTTGGGATCAATTAGCAAACTTGATGGGGCAGCTTCTTAGTAAAGAGTGAAGATTTATCTTTTCCCCCTTCTATTTAGGCTTTTATACAGTTATTTTAATCTTTGAATTTTAAGATAAAACCGTCATGAGCACTGTAACCACAAACTTCATGGAACCTCTATCTTTCACAGGAGATACTAGCATTTTTAATGAGTGTTCTTCAAGGAATTCTCTGGACAAACCCTCCCTTATGTCTGATTCTGTTTTTGCCCATCTGTGTGTGGTCTGTGGGGAACCTCAACCCAGGTGGTGGGATGCATTTGTGTGATTCCATCAACTCTCTATAGTCAGTGCACTCAAAGGGGGACTACATATTTATTAGCTTCTTTGAGAATAAAGGAAAAAATTAGTCATTTAAAAATTATGTTTGATCAAGCAAAACAAATATAGAGGCAAGCCCAAAAAGGAAAATGCTTCTAAACAGCCTTGGGAAAATGGTTGAAACTGCACTCATGGTAACAGAAAAACTTCTTTCTCAGTCTGAATGAAATTAGATCTTAAATTCAGTGATGGCTGTCTTACTCAATCTTGGTGAAAGTCAGTATACCATAAGGAAAAGTATTTAAAAGCCTGAACAAACCTAAAAGAATTAGCCTCTCTTAGTCCATCATTAGAAAGATTGTAAGTAGATTCAAATGCTAAATTCTAAAATCAGGTTTGATATTCTGAAATGAAGAGGCTCTCATTTCTATATAAGTTCTTTTATTTAACAGTATCATTATTTAAATATATCATTTTAAAAGCTCCTGACACATGTTTGGACAGGGAAATAATTTTCATTGCTTTTTAGTTCCTTAAAAGGTTGGTAAATGCCAGAGAATATAGAAAATCAAGTACTGACACATTGGTTCAGTCTATTTCTTTTTAAGGCCAACTGAAAATCCATGAAATGTGGCAGTGTTCACTGATTGTGGTTCATCAAAAGAGAATAGTAGTTTTTATAATCTGAGGATCTATCTTCTTTAAAGACAAAAAGTCTCATTATCTTTCTTTTATAGGACCAGAGACTGAGACACTGAAAGGTCAGAGAATGTTTCTGACTGGCTCAGGAATAATGACCCAAGTACCCCTGCTCTATTCTATAAGAATATCCTTCTTTATCAAGGATTAATGCTAGTGGGTTCAGAATATAACTGCAGTATTATACTGTTGCTTGGCTTTGAGAAGTGAGCTCTTTATTACAGAGGAATTAAAAAGAGAAAATAAAACATTATTCACAAGCTCTAATATTATGTCAATCATGAAGCCTCATCTATGCTGAAATCTTTGGGAGTGGAGCTCTGCTGGGTTAAAAAACAGAGAACTAACAAAGTACTAGTTTTCCTGGTCTTTATCTCATTCGAAATGTTCTTTTCCCATTTTCTGTCAGAATCCAGACAAAGTGATAACAAATTTGACATTCTGTGGTATTTCACCAGGACCAAGCCCTGTCATGGCCCAGTTGTGAAAATTTAGATAAAGCAGAGAAGGTACCAGCATAATTCTCAGCCTAATGGGCTTCTCCAAAACCCACTATGAGCCACGATGTGTAACTGTAGGAAAATGTCCAAGTAGGATGCTTTAAGATGGCTTTTTAAAAAGTAAGATTCTTTGGTAATCTCTTTAAACACCTCTCTAATGAAGATCTTTTCTTTAAAATTATGTGTTAAACCTTTTAAGTTATTCTATTGTTTCTTCGTATTTGTCCATCTATGCCCGGGATACCACCTCTGCCAGTCCAAAACCTAATATATTTTCTTTGAGGCCCCGCACAAGTTCCATTTGTTCTCCAAAACCTTCCTTGACCTTTACATATAACAATCTGACAATTAAAAAATTTCTTTCCACAGCATGCATAGTATCATAAAATCTAGCACTAGTTAATGTGTAATTTCCATGTTTTCCTCTAATTTAATAGGTGCTTGTTTTGTCTTCTTGATTAGGTTTTAAGTACCTTGGAAGCCATGCTATATC